TAAGATGATTTTTGAGCATCTAAAATCGGAAGTAATCTTAATTTTGATCTATAGCTATATGCATTATTCATTTGCTACTCTTTTCCAATTACAATATTTTGAAATATCCCCAAAATTCACGATTCAGCATGATAATAACCCCAAACATACATCCAAGCTCTGTAAAACTTTCTGGAAGCAAAAGAACAAAATATTTTGAAATGTCCTCCCCAATCCCGGATTTGAACCCGAAAGAATTGCTGTGGGATGAAAGTACATCTCAAGAACACTTATGGGGAAAAATAACCCCATCCACTTTAGAAAAAAATTCCTCGTGCCTGAAAAAAAATTTGAGATCCCTATTTTTGAGACATCTCACGTATAAAACTGCAAGTTCTAACTCTACGCCTACGTGAATTTTGGAGTATCCTTTACAGTTCGCTATCCTCCAGATTCAAATGCACTTTCCGTAAATCTGGCCCCCTTGTCATTACCTAGGCAGCACAGGTGCCTACAAGGCATCACGACAAAATGGCGACGCTACGTCTCGCCACAGCACCGCCATTCGTAATGTTATCGAGACTGGACCATTTCTTCAGTCCGTTCTTCACTGCTTCCTGGGTATATTGTCCGCATCACCTAAGATAAGAAATATAAACGGTACTATAAAGCTTTGCAATACTTACAAACGGACGCAGGAGGGCTGAGACATGTCCATGAGTGCATAGTAGCCACCAGCAGCAAGTCTGTTGATTTAGTTGTTCATCGTATTGACAATGTAAAGTACGGACTATGGCATCGTGGTCACGTAGTGAGATAAGGTTAGTTTTACGGTATAACGCGTGGTTTAAGCATGGACCAGTGCTTAGAAGAACGACGCTTGCCTCAAAGAACGATTGTCCTCATCGACGACTATATTCAGGTGGTACAGAGAATTCCAAAGGGGCAATTCCACTCTACAGGACGCTGAGAGGGAGGGAAGGCTGCGACCGTCAGTAACAGAGGAAAACATTACTGCTGAGAGGAAAATGCTTGACGAAGAGTGACATAGCAACAGAGAGAGGAGACCTTACACCTTCGTGCACCAGCAATTCATCAAATTCTGCATGACCATTACACGTAAGGGAACTTTGTTCTCTCTTGCGTACCGCATAGTCTGACGGAAGAGCAGAAGACTCGTCGTACGACTTGGTGCCGAAAGATGCTGAGAATGTTTGGGTGACGAGGCTGGCTCTATTATTACGATGTGCCGACCCAAGGCTCAAAACAAAGTTTGTGTCTTTGATGATGAGAACACGCTGTGTCAGAAAATCCCGATCTGTTAAGAAAAAATGATAGCTGTATTTTCAATCGAGCGGGATTGTGGAGCGTGTCGTTTTGGAGACACTGAAGACAGTCACAGCTAGTGATACACGGAACAGAGCCGATCTTAAGTCATAGAGTCTATGAAAAACCTTGCGGCCAAGTCAAGAATGGACACTTGGCTGTATTGCAAAACTTTTATAGTACCTTTTGTACTTATTCACAAATAATAGAATAATTATATGAAAAAAACTAAACAAGCAAACATCATAACTGGTTATAAAGAGGTAAAAAGGCAATACTTGTATCATACAGAGAATAAAATCAGTATAATTTGAAGATCACTGCCTTTTTGCTTTGTTAAATCGACTTGCTGTTTTTATGCTTAGGAAATGTAGTTATATGAAATATTTGACAAAGTGAAAAACCAACTATTTTTGTTAAATAACGTGATCAATGATATGCAGGGTGTAAGCGTTATGGTAGTCATTATTGAAATGGGTAATAGGGGGATCAAAACAAGTCAAAAAGTTCATATGACCCATGGTCCAAAAGTCAATGGATTTTTGTCTAAATGGCTTTATAGTTTACAACTTTATGTGCTTTATATCGACCACAATCTTACTAATTTTTATAATCTAATCTAAAACGTTTTTAAATTGGGTAATTAACAAATAAATGGCATTAAGTTTTTCTAAGTTAAGCCAAAATTTTGTATTCAGTAAGTTCATTAAATTAAATAATTTAAAACACACATGACAACAGCGCGTCGGTCATTCATCACTCTTATCGAACCAGCAATAGATCGCAAACGATAACAGTGGTTAGTTATTGTTCGCGTACGTCGTCTTGTTTATTTACAATGTTCTCGAGAGTTCGCCGACATGTTGTTAGTTTACGGTGAAGCTCGTCAGAATTCAAATCTTGCAGCTCAAATTTAGACAGAAGGACAATTGTGCAAGTGTACCAAAGACTTCGAGGTACAAGTGTTCAGCCCACTAATATTCGCACTCGTGAAAGACAGGTTACTGTAGAGAAGGAGGAACGAACTTTAAATATCGTGGAAATCAATGCATATATCAGCACTCGGGAATTAGGCCGCCGCGTAGGACTATCGCATACCATAGTCCATAGAATCCTACGGGAAAATTTGCTTTATCCCTACCATGTACAACGAGTGCAGGCCTTGTTACCAGAAGACTATCCTCGCAGACTAACATTCTGTCAGTGGTTTTTGCACAAAAACAGTGAAAATCCGGATTTTTTTTAAAAACATTCTAGCGACGGACGAATGTACTTTTACGCGAGACGGGATATTAAATTTCCATAATACTCACACGTGGGCTCAAGAAAATCCTCATACCATTCGTGAAGGTCAACGTTTTAAAATAAATATTTGGGCGGGTATTCTTGACGATCAGGTAATTGGCCCTTTCGAGTTACCCTCAGGAGAAGGATACCGTAGCTTTATAGCCAATAACCTACCAGATCTTTTGGAACAGACCTTAGACAACATGCCATTACAATGGCGACAGAATTTGTTCCTGACGGGGCACCACCACACATTTTTAGAGGCGTCATTGAGTATTTGAATGAACATTATCCAAATCGCTGGATCGGTCGAAATGCTCCTGATCCTCGAAAATGGACAGCAAGATCTCCTGACCTCAATCCGTTGGATTTCTGGTATTGGGGAGACCTTAAAGGGATGGTTTATGGGGCTGGTCCAATAACAACTGAAGCACAACTTCGCGAAAAAAAATTTAATGCAGCTGAAATAATAAATGGACAACTTCGAGGACCTAGAGTAAGAAGCAACTGGGTTTTAACCCCTTCTATCACCCATTTAAATAATTATTATCATAACGTTTAAAAAGGCAGTTAAGTATGGCAGTATGTTATTCATTAATGCTGTTGAAGGAAATGTAGTTTATTTAGTAAACAGACGTTTTCGTTAGAATGATTTTTCAATTCAATTCAATTCAATGGACTTTATTGTAACACATACATAATTATGTATCTTTACAAATGGCGAAGTCTGGCCAATGGCCATTTATACTTAACCATAAATGTCATGTCAATGCTTATTACTACCTTAAAAATAAAATAAAAAACTGAAAAAGAAAAGGAAAAAGAAGAATAATAGTAAAAGAAGAATTAATAAATATGACATAATGCGTACGATTAGAACAAAAAACATAATACGTACGATTCAAAGAGAAGACAATAACCTAAGAGCTCAATAAGTAGTTCTTATATTTTTTTTTTAGAAAAGTTGCTGATGAAACATTGTTCGAAAGAGTTGATCAATTTCACCGCATTATACGTAAAAGACCGTTGAAAAATGGCTGTCCTATGTTGTGGCATTGTCAGGAGATTAATGTTGCGCGTATTCACATTGTGAATAAAATTCCTACGAAGAAGCTTTTGCATGAGATAAACCGGAACAGAAGTTTTTAATATTTTTACGAAAAATGTAACAAAGTTGTATTTGAAAAGATCAGAAATTTTCAACCAATTCATTGAAGATATTGAGTGAGAAACATGATCGTACCTTCTTAAATTGTTTATGTAACGACTACATGAGTTTTCAATTTTTTTTTTTAATTAGACTTACACACATAGCCAACTTGCTCCTGAAATCTGAAATCTTCATCCAAGTACAAACCTAAATTTTTTGCAGAATGGGAAAATATTAGGATACTATTATTTAGTGATAAATTTAACTTTGATTTGAGGAAAGTACGTTTTTTCTTGGAGCAAAAAAGTATAGCTGTCGATTTCGATGCGTTTAGACGTAAATTATGTTTTGCAGCATATGTGCATAAGTACTGCAGATCTTGATTGATAAGGTTGTTAGCTAAATGGTAGTTGCTCGGACAGAAATTATGAAAAGTCTGCATATCATCAGCATATGATTGACTAGAACAATGTTGAAGGGTGTTAGAAATATCAAAGGTGTATATAAGGAATAAAAGTGGACCTAATATGGATCCCTGAGGCACGCCGGAACAAATCGGCCTTTTGTCTGAAAGTGTATTTTGTATGACGACATATTGATGTCGTTCATTTAAATAGCAATCTAACCATTCCAGAACCAAGTCGTCACACCCAATGTATTTACATTTAGAAACTAACAGCTTATGATTCAGGCTGTCAAAAGCCTTGCTGAAATCTAATAAGACTAATGCAGTTGCTTCTTGCCTATCCGCCGCTGTTAGTACATCATCACAAACCCGTGCCAAAGCGGTAGTGGTACTGTGACCCTTTCTAAAGCCTGATTGATTTAATGGCAAAATGCTGCGTTCGAGTAAATACTCATTCAACTGCATATAAACTATTTTTTCTAGAATTTTTGATAGAGCTGACAGCAAGCTAATAGGTCGGAGATCACCAGGAACCTGGGGATTTTGAATCTTTGGAAGAGGTTGCACTAATGCTTCCTTCCAAGCACTTGGAAAAACACCGCGCTCTAAACAACAATTTATTAAGTGCAAAATGTATATTCCTACAGCAGGTAGACACAATTTAATCATCTCAATGGTAATGCCATCAATACCACTAGAATTGGACTTGATACTGCGAATAGCATCCAATACTGTAGATATATCGACAAGACAGAACTGAAAATGAAAATCTTGGTTTAATTTGTTATGGCTATAAAATTCGATAGTTTCCGAGCAATCATCGTCACTTTTCTGGAATATACTGGTAAAATAGTTATTTATTTCATTGGGAACTGCTAAATCATCTGGAATGTCAGTATTACTAGAATCCTGAATTCTAAATGACTTAAGAGCTTTATAAAGAGCTGCAGAGTTTCTTTGTCGAGATAGATGTTGAAGGTAGCCTGATTTATCTGCACGTGTAGCAGTTTTTGTAAAATTTCTCAGTTCATTGTAATGATTTCGATTCGCATACGTTCGAGACCGTCTATATTTATGAAAAGCCTTATCTCGTTCTTTCATTATCATTTTCAAATTGTTTGTGAGCCATGGTGCACGAGGCTTAGACACTCTCACTGTTTTTAGTGGTGCATGTATGTCAAAAAGTCCTACAATGTTATCGGAAATAAATTTTACTTTCTCATCGATATTAGCCACATAAATAACTTCAGCCCAATTAAGGCTAAATAAGTCATCGTCAAAAGAGGTTAGATCAAAATTGCGAGTCTCCAAATGTAACTAGTCTAGGTGGTGGTTTATTGTTTTTACACGAAATGTGACAGACTACAGCCTGATGGTCACTAAAGTTAACAGTGAACGTTCCCACTTTGGAAAAACCGGATCTAAAAGCGTTGAAGAATGATCAATTATTCGAGTTGGTTCATTCAATAACTGGTGGCTGTAAGATTGCAAGCACTGATTAATCTTATTATCAATAAAGAAATTAACGTTGAGGTCACCAAGTACCAAGAAGCATTCATTAGACGGTGCTAAGATGGACAACGTATTATCTAATATACTTACTGCAACATCCAAACTTCCCCGAGGCGGTCTATAAATAACACCAACTACAATACATTTACGGCCAATACGAACCTTGAGCCAAAGCATTTCTAGAGAAGTACGATCATATTCCTCAAACGATAGAATTTCTGATGAAAAACGATTTTTGACATAACAGTTTTGATTTGATCAGTAGATTCCTTACCCTAGACATAGCCTCCAATTTCTGCGCCCTTTCCACGCTCAGCGGTTCCGGCGGAGGAAAAGCTAGCTCGTTCGCTTCAGCCAACGTCCGCAGATCAAAATAGTACTTCGCGTACACGCTAGAGGGCACGTTGATGTTGAACTGCAATAGTTCGAGAAATTGCCGCTCCAGCTCGTTCATGTCCTCCACCGTTATGTCTTTGAGAATCTGACAGTAGTCCACGTTCCAAACTGCTTGGTCGTCCCATACTTTACTCGCCAAGAGAATTGCTCCTGTAAGAAAAAAAATGACGTCGAGTAGGTTGACTTTTCACTACTTACAATTCTTCCTCGCCAGTAGCACAGCAAGTAAAAATGTCGTAGAATGATTATACATTCCACACCTTCATTAAAAATTTGCTGATTTCAAAGACAAGACAATTGAAATAGGCGCTATAGAGACACCCAAAAAGAAATGTAGATCCTAGCGCCATCTATGAAACGGTAGTAGAACCAAATATTCCAAGACTTTTCACAGCAGATCTAAATCACGTAGATGGCGCTAGTATTTTTCAGACCATCAATTTATGTTCTTATAGGCAAGGGCAATGTGTTTACAGTTTTAAATTCTCACCTAAAACTATTCTCTTCCAATTCGAAGGCTGTATATCTAATTCTGCATACGTTAACAGTCTTTCTAAATACACTAGAGTAATAATGGCACATTCAGCAGTCAATTGAGCTGCATTGAACAGAGTTCTGACAAACTTGTAGATTTGCTTGTGTTCCGGATTGTGTTTGTCATAATCATCTGGAACACCGTCTCTGGTCAGAGGATGCAGCTTCTCATCAAAAATGTCTATGTCACGTTGGGAGTCTCTGAAAAGTGGACGGTCGATAAATAAACTCTCATTTTTTAAAATGAATCTAAAGTTGAAACATTAAATATAAGATACAATACTAGACGAAAACAAGATCTTTAATTAGTAGTACCTACATCAACACTTGTAATTTTCAATGGTAGTCGTAATTACAGTATTTACCTATTTTTGATGTGGTAATAGATCGCTAAAGCAACACATTTCACAGTGTTTTTGAGATTTGGTTGGGAGACAGTGCTATCATCCAGATATATTGTAGAACATGAACTGCTCTTCTTCAGAGGTCTTAGATCTGCTATTTGGTGTTGACTTTTCCTGAAGAAAAATACACAATTTATGTGTCTATTCAAAATCAAAACTTAATAAAAAGACACCATCAGCAGCTCTGCCCTACAAATTCCCATTAAAGACAGATGATTATATCCATTACCCACCAGAGGAGTTTCACAAGGATCTTTCCTACCTAATTTTTAATATTCTCACACATTATTACAGGGCTTAGCTAAATCTAGCTATAAAGATTATAAATCACTATTTTGTTTTGCAATTTTCATATGCTTTTTGACATTAATGAAATATTCTGATTGCCTTGATGGTACATATACAGGGTGTTTCAGTTTATTGTTGCATAACTTTAAGATTCGATAGAACTTTTAAAATTAATGCATAAAGTCTATATAAACATGGGTCGATAAATGCGTGGCTTCCGAAATACAGGGTGTTTAAATTTACTTTCTAAAATAGTTTTTTTTAAATATTTCGAACAATATTTGATGTATAACAGTGAAAATTGGTATACAAGGGTTTTTTGGTACGACAAAACGAACCATGGGCATAGTTTTACTGTAGCCGCTAAAGGGCGCTCTCTACCACTCCACGTCTAGTGAAGCATGACTCATCGGTCCATAAAACGTTACTTAAAAAGTAAATTTAAAAACCCTGTATTTCGGAAGCCACGCATTTGTCGACCCATGTTTATATAGACTTTATGCATTAATTTTAAAAGTCCTATCGAATCTTAAAGTTATGCAACAATAAAACTGAAACACCCTGTATAATAAAAAATGCAATTTTTACACTTTATGATTCAAAATTTTGATTTCATATCTAAATCACAAAGCAACGATCCATAGCGAACAGGCCTAAATGCAACCAAGAAAAACCTTGTATGTACTGTAAATCTTCCTGATTTTACTCAACACATATTGTTCAAGTAATATATTATATTTGAACAAATGATAAAGATGCTGGAACAAAAAACATCAATAAAATAAACCAGGGCATGGATTGCTGAAAAAAATGTTGCAATGCACATGCTCATTTAGGGCCATATTGTCAGTTGTTCCTACAATTGTAGGATGACTTTATGGCCTCCTTGATTTTCATAGACTTTCCTTTCCTTCTGAAAGGCGGGGGTATTTCTAGATTTCTACTGTTCCGTGCCAGTGTCAGTGCTCTCCTATAGTGAAGTTATGTTTTCTTTTTTAACTGCAGAAAATTTTGGGCTGATATAACAGATGATATAAATCAAAAGCATGAACACTTTGATGCAAATAGATATTTGCTTAGATTAAGGATATTTGTGACATAACCTCAAAATAGAGAGCTAACATGGAACAGTAGAAAACTATGAAAATCAAGGAGGCCATAAAGGCATCCGACAATTGTACAAGCGACTGACAATATAGCCCTAAGTTCTGCCTATGCTGTATATTCTCTCAAAAGATATGTAGTAAATTAAAGCAAGTAACATAAATGCCATTTATTATTCTTTTTAATTTTGTGTGCCTACAGGGGAATATATTTAAGAAAATTTTTATTCAAAACTGTAAAAAATAAAAAAAGGATTTTATGGATGATCAGTTATTTTTGGCCAAAGCTAAAGCTCAATAAGATATTTTTTTTTAATGTCCAATGTCAAACTGTCAACAAGTAGATAATTAATACTCAATTCAGTTAAAAACTGGATGTAACCAGTTCTTTTGCAAGAGTCTTCAACTGAACACTATTGTAAGAACAGGCAAATCTATTTTCAATTAAATCTTATAACATTTTTATGGATAGTTTGATGTTCTGCACCATAGAAACAAAACTGCTATCTTGTAAGATAAACAATACAGATTCAGAGAATGCCATTATCAGATCAGTATTTATCAAGTTTTTTCTTCCTTGAAATCATAAAAGAATCTAGTAGGCAGAAAATTCAATACTTCATAAAAGGTATGATCAAGTGACCTATGTTTTCTGAAACTAACCTCCTAATCATCCCATTTTCAATAGCAGTTTTGGACCTCTCAATGAATATAGTCTTTGCCATAGGATCTTGTGAAGGATCTGCCTCCCCATCATCTCCTTCTCTTTCGCTGATATGTTGCAAATTGCTTTGACTGATCTCTCCTTCAGGCAGGGAATCCTCTATGGGTAGAATCACCCGTTCCCTGTGACTGCTCTGCGGGCTCGAGTATGAACAGCAACTGTTTTTGTTACCCATGTCGCTTCAGGCTTTTGACTCATCAGTCTCTTGTGGTTTGGATTTTGTGCATAGTTTCAACTGGAAAATGGTGACTTTGCTGGAATTAGAGGTGTTCTGGATTCCATATTTTGCTCTATGGAGATCAAAAGAGTAGTTTTGGGATACATAAATCCAGATCCACACTTGATCCACAACACCCACTTTTCTGAGCCGGCAACTGTTTCGAGAAAAAGGAACGCCACACGTAAACAGATTCAGGTCATTTGTGGTACATCTCAAAATTCGTTCAATTTCCACTGCAATATTCAAGATTAAGTGGAAAATCGATGTCTATGGAATGAGGGTGTATCGTTTTTGAGATTTTGATAAAAACAACAGTAGCTCTCATAAGTCATAAAATCTTAGAGCCTAGCTCCCATGTAGCTCCCTTTTTCAGAATCTAATTCAGGATACTACGAGCGAGCCTATCAGAAATATAGAACTGGACTGCTAGATATAAATTGAAATTTCCAATTTAAAATCCAGGACCAACCTATTGGCAAAGAAATAACAATCTCGCCATTTTTAAAACAGTGAAAATAAGCATTATTTTCGAGAGTCCACGGTGTAGCACAGTGCACTACCGGGAACCGATACTTAGATTTTCGCGAAGAACGGGAATAGGGGAAGACGGATATGACGTCACCCAAATATCAAAAAATCACGTGATACTTCCGCCTTGAATTTCTAAATGACGTCGTCGTTACCCCCGGGATAGACATACGTTTTGAAAGTTGATCTTGTCACCTAGATTGCGGGGTTGCCAGCTCATCGGGCGATTTTGCTACCTCTGCTATCACCAATTGGACTTTTTGTTCGAGGCCCTGCTAATAGTTTTGAGATTTTTCAGAAATGAATGTAAGTACATAAGAATACATACCAGAACGTTAGATTAGTGCACGTATCAGGGTGGCCAAGATAAGGATCAGACTAGGTTAAACTCAGTAATCACAGAATTTTACATCAAGCATTTGTTTGCAGCGCCTTGTTAAATATAATGAAAAAGTGGAAAAAAACACGTTTGTTTATAACTAAAAAACAAATGTAAGGTGATACATCGTTGAAGTCGTAGAAAAAGCTGCTATTAGATACTGTGTAGCACTTTTTTAAAAACATCTAAATAGTGCCATTAGTTTTTTGACATTTCTTAAAATAAAGTAATAAAAACGATTTGGCCAAATTTTAGTTTTTCCCAAATACCTCAGTAAACAAACAAAAACATAGCATGTCAACCCTAACATACAAGTAGATGAGTATGCAAAGCTAACCAGTTTGCTGCACATGTATCCTGTTGCCCTCAGAAGAGTTTGAAGTAGACCTAATTTCCACTTTGGGTACACTTAACACCCACCTCACAACACTAAAGCACCAGTGAGACACAATCGAGAACCTTATAGTGAACACCACTATTAGGAAAAGAATAACTTAACCGAATATAGCTCTGGACAGAGCTGTGAACGCGTCGACATGCCGCTGCGGCCCCGGCTGCCGAGAGACTGAAGGGTGTGAGTGCTGTACCTCGCTGCGGCCAGGTATTACAGCCACGCCCCTTTTCAGCTTCCACTCCGCGCGAACGCTCCCGTCAACGTAAACATCGAGTCGCTTCGTGATACTGTCAGATAAGAAAACGCAGACGCGCGGAGTGGGAGCTGGAAAGGGGTGTGGCTGTACTACCCGGCAGCAGCGAAGTGCAGCACTCACACACTTCAGTCTCTCGGCAACGGTCGGTGCAGCGGGATGTGCACGCGTTCATAGCTCCGGTGCAGAGCTCTATTCGGTTAAGCTATTTTTTTAATAGTGGTGTTCACTATATCATTCTCGATTGTCTCTCAATGGTACTATGGTGTTTTAGTGTTGTGGCGTGGGTGTCAAGTGTCTCCAAGTGGAAATTAGGTCTACTTCAAACTTTTCTGAGGGAAACAGGATACATGTCATAGTCATATACTGAAGTATTTGGGAAAAAATAAAAATTCTCCAAATCGTTTTTATTTTTGTCTGACTTTATTTTAAGAAATGTCAAAAAACTAATGGCACTACATGATGGTGTTCTAGTACTACCCTGTATCTAATAGCATCTTTTTCTACGACTTCAACGATGTAACACGTTACATTTGTTTTTTTAGTTATAAACAAACGTGTTTTTTTCTACTTTTTCATTTTATTTAAGTAGGCGTTGAAAACAAATGCTTGATGTAAGATTGTGTGATTACTGAATTTAAACTAGTTTGATCCTTATCTTGGCCACCCTGTAATAAATTATTATAAAAGGAAATTTACAATTAGCAAGGCCTCGAACAAAATGCTATTTTTAGTCCAAGGAATTGGTGATAGCCCTTATTTACTAAGGCCCGTATCGACAGTCGTCCCTACAATTGTAGGGCGCCTTTATGGCCTCCTTGATTGTCATAGTTTTCTACTTCTTTGTGTCAGAACTCCATTTTGAGGTTATGTCACAAACATCTATTTGCATCAAATTGTGCTTGCTTTTGAGTTATATCATGTTTTATCAGCCTGAAATTTCCTACAATTTAAAAAGAAAACATATCTTCACAATAGGAGAGTGCTGACGCTGACACGGGACAAGTGTAATCAAGAAATTGTTGAAGGAGAGAAAGCAGTATGACAATCAAGGAGGTCATAAACGCGCCCTACAATTGTAGGGACGACTGACGATACGGGCCTAAATATGGTGCAAAAAATCAAGCGCTGATTTATTGACGTTTCCTAAGCTAGAAATTCAGCCGCGTGGGAGACTACAATGTCTTCCGTGGTTGTTGGAGGATACGTGGCCACCAAATGTCCAACAAGAGTAAGTATATAATGATCGACGAGTTATAATTTAATAATACGTCAGCTGTCCATTTTTAGCTGCCTGAATGCCTGATATCTGCTTATAAGACAGATTTCCATATCTTGCAAAGTCAGACTATGCTTTCATGAAGAAATGGCTCATATTTCTATCACTCTAGCAACATCGTCCGATGAGCTGACAACACCGCAATCTAGGTGAAAAGATGACAAGGTCAACTACCAAAACGTATGTCTATCCTGGGGTAACGACGGAGACATTTAGTACGTCAAAGTGGCAGTTTTCCAATCTGCATTTGCTATTTTAAGCGGTGTGCAACGATTTCGAGAAAAATTTCGCTACGGATAGTCTTCTAGAGTATATTTCAAAACTTGTCTTGCGTGACCATATTATCTTTAGTCGGGCCTAATTTTTAACTCAGTAATTAGATGGTGAAAGAAAAATACATTTAACCCAGCAATCTCAACCGTAGAAACGAAAATGGCGGGCAGAAGTACGGGTTTTCTCAAGTGATTTTCTATTTGAAATCCTTGCTCGATGTCATTCATTAAAGGCCGTCAAAACAGTCAAATCTCTTCGGGAAATGGCCACCGATTTGTAATTTTGACATCGTGTCAAAAGAAAAGTTAATTCCTAATTGTTTACAAATATTTTTCATATTTATCAACGATTAATAGCTGGTAGATTATATTTCAAGTTAATTAATACAAAAACAGGTAATATATAGAATAAGGGATGTACATAATCGCTAGTCACATTATTTGTCCACATCATTTTTACGACCAATTCATTGTTTCACATTTTGCAATTCTTGCATTTATCCACAGTTACAAGCATCTAGACTGTACTTGAATCGTAATAACAATTAATTAACTAGATATTACTCATATTCCAGATTTCCAACATGTCTGCTGGACCGTACAATTATTCCTATATTTTCAAATACATTATCATTGGTGACATGGGTGTAGGCAAGTCTTGTCTCCTACACCAATTTACAGAGAAAAAATGTGAGTATATAATTATTCGTATATTTTAATAAGCATGGTTATTATAGAGGTGCATCCACTGCCACAATAATTAGAGGTTGCATGTATTTTTATCAATTTCATATGATGATAACAAGCTTCTGTTTTTGTATCAAATTATCCATTTTTATCATGTTTTGAAACATTTCTGTGTTACATTTTCGGTATCTGTATGCATTTTATCATTATGTACATCACTTCAGTTGGTACTTAGAAGCACAGTTTCACATATTTTATAATAAGTATATGCATTGACTATATAATTTTTAAATGCATAGGCTATATTTCTTGTTAATGTGTTATAGCTTCTTTTTTCTATTTTAAATAATTAATAGGCATATGTATATTAGGAAATATGTTTTGAAATAAGGAGTTAAATACAATAATTAATTTTGCACTAATATACAGGGTGCTACTTAAAAATATGATGTGATTCCAATGGCATGTTATTCACGCAAATTCAAGTAGAAAAGTTCAAATAAACATATACTCTGTAAAACTCTTGTTTGTCAAAGTTTCAAAATTATTTTTTATCATCTCAAAGACCCCTGCACAAATTTTGTTAAATTTTGCCATTATTGTCATTGCAATAAAACTTATCTAGATAATTATGAATTCCAGTGGGATGTCAGTGGTAGTCCCACAAATGATATTGACAAAAAAAGTATTCCATCAACTTTATAAAAAAACATATTTATTTGGATTGAGTATTATGGTATTTGATACAAATAAAAACCAAAGATTCTACCCATGATTTGATTTCATTAATTTAATTATTTTATTATTTCTTGTTCTCTAGGACAAACAAAATATTATTTATTATTATTTAGCCTATTTATCGCTCAAGTCAACTTGGCAAGAACAACAATTTATGAGAAATTACTTGTTTCCATGAACTTTATAATATATTGTAAAACTCATGAAGTTTCATATTCCTGCAAGTCATTACCATTCTTTTTTTTGTTAATAACTTTTTTTTTGTAGTTATGGCTGACTGCCCCCATACAATAGGAGTAGAGTTTGGAACTCGTATAATTGAAGTATCAGGACAAAAGATCAAACTCCAAATATGGGATACTGCAGGTCAGGAGAGGTTCAGAGCAGTCACAAGGTCTTACTATAGAGGTGCTGCTGGTGCACTTATGGTGTACGATATTACCCGAAGGTAATGACTGTATTTGAGAAGGTAGATATTTCCTCTTAAGAAATAGAATACTGCTACAAAAGTCAGAAGCATCAGGAGAAGTTGAAGCCCTGATTTAGTGAAGCTCTTCAACATTGCTTGAGAATTTTTTATATACAAGGATTTACTCATGTGAATATAACAAGTAACAGTTTATACTCAGCAGTATGCCAAAACTGCTTTTATACTGTACAATAATTTTTATCTTACATATTTTAAATTGTCATGATCATGTGTAGGTCTAACATCTGTTTTTATAATTGTAATTTTTAATATGTCTTGTGTATCAATCATTTTTCCCTCTTTGACTTGTTACATGTACTAATTTCCTGAAATGTGATCAATAAATATCCGTCTATGAGGTGTGAT